AATTTAATAAAAAAACATCAAAAATATTAAATAGGAATAATGATTTATTACAGTGAGACGAGCAAATATCTAAAAATACTTGATTGACAAAAATTATTCCAAGACTTTCAAATCCTAAATTTTCTTTTCTCTCTCCTCACAATAAATAACTATTAACATAAATAAACAAGCTAACCTTAAACCTAGAAAATCTTAATCAATCTCACACTTCTTGCTCACTTCCCTAATTTGAAATCCTTTAACAACATATAATAAGTTCAAGAGCCCACCAAATAATCAAATCCTATAATTAAACTCAAAGCACGACCAAATAGCAATATGCATGTCAGTAATCAAATTATAACATTGATATTTATATGATCATGAATTTGTAGAAAAATAGTAAAGCTCACATGCAATAATAGTAGAAGTCGTCAACAGTAAAATAGTACGGTGCATAAGCAAGTAAAAAGAAGTACAATGGAGAAGCTAGTAAACCAGTACAAGTGTTGAATCGATAAAGTTGTCATCTTATCAATACTATCAATCAGTTAAAAATCATATAAAACGGTAAAACTAAAGTATCTATAAAGACTGACGAAATCATATCAATACAGTAAAATCATATATGAGTGTACATATATTGTCCATGTGTTTTATATCAGTATAATTCAATATATTATATGTTTGATATGTCACATGCTTAGTATTATTAATAAGTACAATATAGTTCTATAATGGTATTAATAACAGTTCAATAATAATATTATTGTCTGTATCAGTAATAATAAAAGTCTAATGCCAAAAGCAGTAAAATAATATACTAGTAGTAAATATGCACAATAATAATAATAAATTGGTGCAATAATAGAAACAATGTCGCAATAACATGCATTTCAATTGTCGCATTAAATAAGTAAGAAGTTATAGCTATCATGATGTTTTTCAATAATTGATAATCGATAGTCGATAATCATTGACTCAGTATACTAAATCATCATTATTTGTCTATCGACACATTAATAATTTCTTATAACTCTCAATCGTTATATCAATAGAGGATAATTTCCAACCATAGTATTTAAAAGAACCATAATATTTAAAGGAAAGTCCGTCAGTGCACCATCTTAGACATATCAATCAATCTAAAATTAATGTGTCAACTAGTATTTACTTATCTTTTACACATACACATTATTAACATAATATTATAATAGTAATATCGAACATCTATTACTCAATCACATATAGACATTTATTTCTAAAATATTGTAGTAAATAAATCATAATTGTGATTAATTCAAAAAGTATCAAAATATCATGACAGCGAATCCTACTAAACATAAATTTAAATTTTTAAAAATTAACAAAAGCACCGGTAATAGTATATAATAATATTCTAAAGCTTTAATTGAACTAAAACTCTATTTTTATATGTTAAAATAAATGTCTAAATTAATAAAAATTACATCTTATTAGAATCATTTGGTAGAAAATATCAAAAAAATACTCAAAATATTCATAATCATAACCTCTATAACATATAAAAAATTACACAGTTAAATTTTTTTTCAAAATTATTCATATTTTTCAATAACGAAAATACATATTTGATTAAAAAATGCTAAAAAATATTAAATTATTAAAATTAGTAATATGATAATAGTTCCTTATAATGAGACGAGTAAATCTCAAGCGACTGACAAAAGTCACTATACAGTCTCAAAATCTTGACTTCTTTTTTCTTTTTTCATTTTTCATTTTCTTCTCATTTCTCCTAACATGTCTCTGTTAGCCGAAATAAGAAAGAAAAAAATAGTTTTTAATAAAATAATGACTGGTATTATATAGTTATAATAAAAATAAAAAATAATATAATTAATTTTTATTATAAAATTCGTATAAATCTTTTGCGGCTTCAAATTATATAAAAACATATCTAAAATAGCTCATTTTATTTAGAAAAATTTGACAAAAATTGATTTGCAAAATAGACACTTGATGTAGTGGTTTCAATATTTGACACGATCCAAAAACCCGACTTAAAACTTTCAGATTAGGATTAATCCGGTTGGCAAATGAGTTAGGTTTGGCTTTCAACTTTCAAGATTTGACCCGTTTAAAAAATCAGGTTGAATTTGAATCAACCTGCTAGCCTGAAGTTTACCTAAATTTGACCGTCTTCCAACTTCCTCCGCAACTTTCAAAATAAGCCGGCATATTTGCTTCCAAAGGGATTTGATATATAACCAAATACACCCCTGAGCTGCTCCTCCAAGCTCTCCTCTAACCAGAACCCCTCACGTCCATCCAATGCCTCCTGGACCATCCTTATTAGCAGCTTCTATCCCTTCACCACTTGAAATAGTTTGAATAAGCCCCTTATCACTAAAGGTTTGTGCAAAGATCTCATCACAACAACTCTACAGCCATGCAAAACATTCCTGGCTTACAAATTCTGGCTCCAGCAAAACCATAACAAATTCCAGCTTCTTCTTGTGGGATTTCCAAAGGTTTATCTCTTCCTTCGGATTGAGAATTCCCCCAAATAGCTGCGTCCCTGGGGGCGAACTAAGCACCATTTTGTAAAACAGTGGCAGCAGCAGTGGCAAAAGCCTCAGCGTATGCAACAACAGTATGGCCATGACCCGTGTCAGATTAGGTTGACTTGGATTTTTGGCGGGTCGAGTCTGGGTTGTAATTTTTGACTCATTTATAAAATGGGTAAGGTTTGAGTTGTGTCGAATATCAGCGGGTCAGTGTCAGGTTTCACCCGTAACTCATTTTTGAACCCCCTAATTTGACGGTCCCCAAATCATCGCTTGTACTGATATGTGTCAATTTCTTAAAGATTTGCATTAATGCCCAAAAATTACGAGAAAAAATAGCATGATTAGATCACTGCAATATATATGTTATAGCGAAGAAAGTTTGTAATTTACTAATTTGGATTTATAATGACTCCTAAAAAAATTATTTGATTGAATAAGACGGGCTATTACTATCTACGCATCATAAATAAATGTCATACTCGATATTTTCTTCAAGGATTCAGGCTATAAATCGATATAAACTAAATCCGTATGATAAAAAATGAAATTAAATCAAACAAGTCAAAATTCATCAAAAAATCATATCAAAATAGGGGCTATTATACAAAATTAGTCATTTACTAAAACATTATAGGCATCTTTCGAGGATTTGTAAAACAAAAGAAATACATTGGCCATTCAACTGACGTATGTAATATGAACTTAGGGGACATTCAAAGCTAGGGGGATTGGAGCCCTCGCAGACTCCATATTGGTGAAAATTCTATTCGCGAATGATGGTGCAAGAGGTGGAGCCACTATGGCTTTGATACCATATCAAGAAACAAGAACGTGTAAAGCTAAATAAGGCCATTAGCATTCCTCATCTTAGACCTGTCAAAATTGGACCCGACCCGAACCCGACCTAAAAATTTTGGGTTTGGGTTGATCTGAACCCGAAGCGGGTCGGGTTCCGGTCCGGAAAACTGACCCATTTGCAAAATAGGGTCGGGTTCGGGTTGATCCGGAAACCCGAGAATGATCCGAATTGACCCGGAATAACTCATAAACCAGGATGCCCCACGACCGCCTGCACGCATGCGTCGCTCGCGCACTTGAGCGCACCCCGCGTCGTGCACTCGAGCGCTCCCCACGTTGTGCACTCGCGCCACCCCGCTACCCCTTTGTCGCGCGCGACCACTGCCCCGTTGCCGGCGCGCGACTCGCTGCCCGCGTCGGTCACTCGGCCACTCCCGCTCCGCAGCCACGATGCGCTGACGCACTTGCCCACGTCCACTCAGCGCGCTCCCGCGTGCGCACTCCGCTCAACCGCTAACTGGGAGCGCAGACAGTATCCCGCGTTTGCCCTAACACGTCCGCACTTGCAACACGCGCCACCTCCGACCTGCCTGCTGTCGCTGCTGAAATTAAGTGGAGGTCGGGTTGACCCGAACTCGACGTAACCTGAAGCGGGTTGGGTTCGGGTCTAGAAAAATCGACCCAGTTTGCAAAAATATGAGGTCGGGTCAACCCGAAACTTGAACAGGTGCGGGTCAATTTCGGGTTCAATCCGATCCTGACCCGTGACCTGAAATTGCACCCCTACCTCTCTCTTAATATTGAAAACAATGCACAATAAATGTAAATAGAGCTTGTAGTTGGAAGAGACTACTTTTAGCAACTCAGCATGATAGAAGCATGGAAGAAAAATATATGAAACAAAGTATAATACTACAGTCTGTGGCCTGATCATTAAAGGGTTTTAAACTTAATCCCACATTCTTATAATTACTGGAAGGGCATGTTACTTCATAATTAGTAGCTTATATTTATGTAAAAAATATCTTTACAGAGGTCTCATATTCATTAAATTTTAACTTTTCAAAAATTTCTTATCGTCGAATTGTTTAAGATTTTATATAAATTACTTCATTTTAAATTTCAAGTAATGATAAAATTTTATTTTCTCAAACATTGTGTATTTTTTCAGATACTTATATGGAAATTATTGTAATGTATATTTGATAAAATCAATATTACTTAGAATTTTATAAAGAAATAAGTATATTCGTAACGAATATAAGCAAAATGCTCTCGAGACTCAAATCAAATATTTTAGTTTCTTTTCTAAGTTTTATTTAGGACGACTTTTTATAACATGCTTTCATAATATCTAATTTTTAAGTATACAAAATTTTTAAATTTTTTATTAATAAACGGCTTTAAGAGAGCAGTAATAAGTCATTCAAAACAAAAAGTCCTTAATCTCCCCAACGCAGTTTAGTTTGATCTTATTAATTGAGAGGCTTTGATCTTAATGCAAATCAAGAATATTGAAACTCATATATATATATATATATATATATATATATATATATATTTTATTTTCAAATTTTTCTTAATCGATTTAAATGAAAAAAATGATATGTATGTAAATCTCAAAAAAAAAAAAAAAAAAAAAAAAAAAAAAAAAAAAAAAAAAAAAAAAAACTGAATCGGTCCGGTCCAAATAACTCCTGCGCGAGGAAAGTAGAACCCGGCTCTTGTCCTCCGCCGTCGATCTCACTTGGCACTTCCCCGTCGATGTAAAGCGCAACGGAAGTGAGCAATCTCTCCACGAATCCCTCTCCTCTCCCCTTCCCATCGTTCCCCAACCTTTTCAACGAGTTTCTTCTTCCAGATCGAAAGATAGGGTTTTGAACTGTTCTTCGTCAATTCCTTAATCAACATCTAGGGTTATCAAAATTAACCCTACGCTTCCATGTCATCAAACAACCTCAACAACGCCAACCCTCCACGACCCATCGCCGGCTCACCACTTGCCGGCGGCATGTCCTCTTCCCCTGTAACTCCGCTTCCCCACCTGCGCCCCCCTCCACAACCCCAACCCTCTTCAGCCTCCCCTTTCCAAAACTTTTTCCAGTCACAATCCCTACAATCCCACCTTGCCGCCCAGTCCCAGGCTTCCATGCTGGGCCCCGGTGCCTCTACCCCCTCCCCTGGGCTCTCTGGTGGCCCCAAAAGGCCCCCTCAGAAGCCTCCACCTCGTCCTGCACTGCCGGCATCATCGGTGGCTGCTGTTCACAGCTTCAAATCTGCAGAACTAACTCCTGCAATCCGCCGGAAGAAGAGGAAGCTCCCTGAGAAGCATCTACCAGATCGCGTAGCTGCCCTGCTGCCAGAATCAGCTCTCTATACCCAGTTGCTTGAATTCGAGGCACGGATTGATGCCGCCCTTTCAAGGAAGAAGGTTGACATCCAGGAATCCTTGAAAAATCCTCCTACATTGCAGAAAACCCTTAGAGTTTATGTTTTCAATACTTTTTCCAGTCAGAATAGGTTGGGTTTGGATCCAAAGAATGCTGAGCCGCCATCTTGGTCTCTCAAGATAATTGGGAGGATTTTGGAGGATGGGGTTGACCCCAATTCTGCAGAGGCTTTGGCTAATCCGAATCCTGCGTATCCTAAGTTCTCATCTTTTTTTAAGAGAGTTACTATTGGTCTAGACCCTATGCTTTACCCGGAGAATCCGACAATTATTTGGGAGAATGCAAGGTCGCCTGCTCCTCATGAGGGCTTTGAGATTAAGAGAAAAGGGGATAAGGAATTCAATGTGAATATACGGCTTGAAATGAGTTATAATCCCGAGAAATTCAAGTTATCTCCCGCACTGATGGAGGTTCTTGGCATTGAAGTGGACACTCGAGCTAGAATTATAAACGGGATTTGGCACTATGTTAAGGCTAAGAAATTGCAAAACCCTAGCGATCCTTCGTTTTTTACCTGTGATCCACCATTGAAGAAGGTGTTTGGAGATGATAAGATGAAGTTTTCATTGGTTTCGCAGAAGATTTCTCAACACCTGTCACCCCCGCAGCCCATACATTTGGAGCACAGGATTAGGCTTTCTGGTAATGGTCCTGCAGGCCATGCTTGCTATGATATTTTGGTCGATATTCCTTTCCCCGTGCAGAAGGAAATTTCTGCTTTCCTTGCAAATACAGAGAAACACAAAGAGATTGAGGCTTGTGATGAAGTGATTTGTGCTTCAATTAAGAAGATCCATGAGCATCGACGAAGGAGAGCATTCTTTCTTGGTTTTAGCCAGTCACCAGTGGAGTTTATAAATGCTCTAATTGCTTCTCAAAGTAGGGACTTGAAGCTTGTTGCTGGAGAAGCAAGTCGTAATGTTGAGAAGGAACGCCGTGCAGACTTCTACAGTCAACCATGGTATGCTCCTCACACTATCAAGATAAAATTCATGTTGCTTCTATGAATAAACTAAATTTGTTCTTGCGTCTGTTGAATAGGGTTGAAGATGCTGTTATCCGTTATTTAAATCGTAAACCAGCAGGTGGTAATGATGCTCCTAGTAGCACATGAGCATTGGATGAAAGATTTTACTGGAAATCAAGTTAGATTTGACAACCGGTGAAGTTCTAAGGCAATCATAATTATGCTTTCAGATTCTCTATAATTGTTTTACTCCATTCCTTGTATCAGGTAATTAATTTGGGTCACTTTGTGTAAATTATATCTTGCAGAACTGTTGTGACGCATTTTATCAGGTGCGTGAGTCTGAGATATTTTAATATGATATGTGCTGTAGTACTTGTGAGGATTTCATGATTCTAATTCCATCTTAGAGTTTTTTTTTTCCACATTTACCATTTGAAATGGAACACGAGCGCTCTGGCGCTCTAACTAGTTAATCTTGCTGAAACCTGTTGCAAAAAAATGGAATTATTTAGCAAATGGAACTATTTAACTGGAAGTTTTAATATTAAGAATTCATGTGGTTTTAATTTATGCTCAACGCCTATATCTTACCAATGAATTGTAGTGTTGTAGTATTAAGTACACCAACGAAGAGGACCTATGATACACCTTGGTATCAAAAATAGCCGACAAACAAGAGAAATTCAGCAAAATAACCAACGAACAAGAGAAATTCAGCACCAAACGGATTTTTTTATTGCTAGGAAATTAATAACAAAAGCAAGATACATGGTCCTCTTTCAAGAGGAGGACGTTCTCTCCTAAACCCAGACGCCACTAGGATTCCTCACAAAAAGAAAGCTACAACACTCATAACAAAATCTGTATAAACCTAAAATAAACCCTACTATTATTTGAGTCAGTTTGTGCTTAAGGCTATTTTTTAAAAAATAAAAAAATAATAAAAAAAGCTTCCTTCCTCCCTCTATAATCAAAGTCCTTCCTAATATGTTTCCCTCCTTAATTTAAAATATAATTCAATTAGGAAAGGTTTCAATGAGAAAAGAAAATCAATTATGAAAGAATTTCTTAATTGATTTTCTCCTAATATAATTTAGGAAATCTTCCTAAACAATTAAATATGATTTAAGAAATATTTCTAAACAATTAAACATAATTTTAGAAACCTTCCTAAACAATTAAATACTTCATAAATAATATAAACATAATTTGGGAAATCTTCCATAACAATTAAACATGATTTAGAAAACCTTTCCTAAACAATATATGAATATAATCATAATTATAAAACCTTCCTAAATAATTCCCCTTAATTAAGAACCTTTCTAAACAACTCATCTTGATTAGGAACCTTCTAAATATCTTCCCCTGGGCCGCACAAGGTGGGCCGCCCTGGCGTATCAATACTCCCTTTCCAAAGAGTCACCTTGTCCTTAAGATGTAAGGAAGGGAAACTGTCTCCTGATCATCTCTTTTAACAACAAAATCTGCTTCCTGTCGATAACTACTTAGCACATGATCTAGTTCTATATCCTTCATTATCTGCTCTTGCTTCACTCTAGAGAATATAACATTTTTCAAAATTTTAACATCTATTCCAATACCTTCACTTTTTCTTCACTTACTCCAGCTATCCCAGTCATCAACTATTTTTTTTTCTCTCAAAGCCAGAAAGGTTAAAAAGAAATGATGCAAAAAATAACAAGGAACCACATTGATGCAGTAAGAAGCATAAAAGTTATTGAATTAGTAGTTGCAGATCTATAGATCTGATAAATAATTAGTGGCAACATAAGTTCCAGACCCTTTGTAAAATGACTTATAGAGTACATATTGTAGTTCTTTGCAAACTTTACATGTTGCCCAACGAATCCTCATCCAGTAGCTCTATATTTTACTCCTCCATGTAGGATTGTCCGTTCAAAATAATGAGATTTTGTTCCAAGCAATAATGTAAAGAACACTAAGTACAATTGAAGTTGCATGATGGTTATATTTCCCAATGCAGTTCTGAATCCCCTTTTCAGCCCAATCTCCATAATCATGGGTAAGGCCATTAATAGACCAAGTTGGACGGCAGATTGAGATGCCATAGCAGCCTTCAGAAGATTATTTCCTCTCATCAATGCCTGTTTCATAATGGGGGTGGAGATATCATCCCTCCTGAGATGTTGAAAATCATACTGATGTAGCTCCCCCAAATGCGTTCACCATATACCCAGATCAATATGGTTCTTGGATAGGACAAGGTCACTTCAATGGCGATGAGTGTTCATCATTTCTTAAGGATGAGGTATTTTGAGTTCATTTGCTATGTTTTGACATAACTTGACTTGTTCCTAATTATTGCTGGATTACCTTCTTTCAACTAATGTTGGATGAAAAAATACTTGTTCATCTCAGTTGAGAAAATGTCGATGTTCCTTTGACTAGGAGATTGCATAACCTGAGCCTTTACGTAAGAATTTTATTGGTCTGAAGAAGAAGATTGTAAGTTGGGGCAATGATTTGGTGTCCAAGGATGTTGACAGGCCTGAGATCTGAATAGTTTTTTGGGAGTGCTATTCGAATTTGATGATTCCAACTGAGAAGAGGGTAGGTGTGAGAGTCCCGGGGAAGCTCTTAGGCCAATGAATTGTGGTAAGTTTGGGTTATATTGAGGCCTTTATTATGTATTATTCATATAGCTTATTTATTAATCATCCTTTTTAATCTTGCGGTGGGTCATACATTATTGATGTCCTCCCCTCTGATGTTGTGGCTGAGGCCTCCTAAGGGATCTACCCGTGGCTATACTTAACAAATCCCTCAAGACTTTGACGAAGGTTCTTGAAGTAGTAGCATAGAACTTAGGATAGAGTCTCCCAAGATAGCAGCTGCAAACTTCAATGAAAGGAGCATTATGTTGGGTCCTCTGCTAATGTTTTGCCAGCAGGGTCGAGCTCCTCATTATCGGCCAGGCTGATAGATGTGAACAAAGCAATAATGATGCGAGTTACAAGTTAGCTGATCATAACTGATTGATTGCATGCTTTCTAAGTTTTTCTTCTAGGGGAGGGTAATCTTCTCAAGTTGCACGAGGACAATGCAACGATGATTATAGAGGTTCTCCTAGACTTTGCGCGCTAACATCATGGATGCCCTCTAGGTCATTACATTGAAGTGATCTTCCCCAATAGAGAAGGCTGGAGTTTGCAAGCCTTGGCATTGATGAGTTGAGAATCAGACATTGTATGCCATGCATACCATTGTTTTGAAAGCCAAACCGGACTGGACCAGTCGTTTTGATCGGTTCAACCGGGAATTGGTTGGTTGGCCGGTTCAGGTTTTCTCTAAAACCAGCTTTGCAATGAACCAGATAAAACCGGTTAGAATCGGTGGTTTGATCGCCAAACCGGTTTTGGTTTTTAAGAACTGGTCGGCTCAATAGTTATTTATTTTATATAATTATTTAAAAAATAAATAAATTTAATCAATTAAATTGTTTTATTAAATTTAAATTTGAAATAACTTTATATTTGTTATAATAATTGATTTTTAAATAAACTCCAACAAAATTTACTCACATGACATTGCCATCCATATATATTTATATATGAATTAAATTTCTATTAATTGTGAATTAAAATCAATGAGTGAGATATTTACATTTAAATTTAAAATTAGTAATTTATTTATATTTATATATAACATAAATTAATAATTTTTTATGTTTAAATTTAAAATGATGGAATATATTATTTATGTATGAATTTATTTATTTTTAGTTCTAAAATTATATTATTTTATAATTACTACTTTGTTATCTTATCATTTAGATATCATTTAAATATTTGTGATATTTATCATGTCAATCAGTTTGACCCCGGTCGAACCATTGAACCTTAAACCTCCCTTTTTTCGGTTATATCTTTGGTTCGGGTTTTACAAACTTGATGCATGCTATTTGGTTGCTTGGATTTGGAGTCTCCCCCCTCTAAAAAAAAATTCTTTTAACAACGGTTTTTAATGCTAGTTTCTCGCAATTGGCACCAAATTTTAAGGATGAAAAGTGAGCTTACTTGAGATGATAATAATTGTGTTTTGTTGGTATTAAAGATAAAGACGAGAAAAACTCACTATCCTTGAAGTGAATCAATCCGGACTAGCGTAAGTAAATGAAAATAACATGTTAGAGAGTAAAAAATATTTAATTTGGGATGCCTTTGTTGTATTGACCTAAGCCATGATGGAAATGCCATTACAAGAGCTTTTATTAGTGTCACTTATGTTTTACAATGCCTACTATAATTATGGAGAAGGGTCGAGGAATACATAGAACTCCAAGGTTGAAGGTTTTAGTGACAATGCTTCTTTGGCTATTTGTTCAAGGGCCTCATGAGAGTGGTTAATTAGATATTGAGTTAGCCTTTATAGATGTTGTCTGGGTCATTTATACCTCTCGGTGCGACCACAACCTTGGTCCATGATTAGTAGTTATTGTATTGTTGCCATGAGAGATTGATGATTGGTAATAAACACTTTGATCATTGAGAATATTTCTTTATAAGAAAACCTTGAAATTGCAATGGTTCTGATATGAATGTTGTCTTAAATACACCATTGGGCATCCTTGTAGTTTCTCCGATATCAAGATGGACCGCCAGTGGTTGGGAGGGATAACCCAAGAAAGACTCCTTATGCTTGAAAAGAATTCCTAAGATCAAGAATAATTCCTCGAGGACTTAAAGGACTCAAAATATTGGTGCTGATGCCACACATAGGGCTAGGATGCGACCATTCTAGAAGTAGAAATTTGAGAAGTACAAGTCTGTTATGAACCCTTATGTGGCGTTGTATGGGGGTTTTTCGCCATCATGTAAATCCAATCAACATTGGGGAGTAGAGAGTAGGAACCTAAAAATTATGAGCCTCTCAATACAACATAGAGTTCAAGGTAGATAAAACCAAATATCATGATATTTGAGGGAATTTGGTTGATCTTGAACTCTTTCTCTCCTCACCCTTTCCCTCTGTCCATTGTTAGAGTCATGGAGGTGGTAGACTGTAGTGATGGCCTTCTCATAGCGGTGCACCTCATAGATGATTATTTTCATTCAACATTTAAGCTATGAAGGATAAGATTTTGCATGCCAAAGCATCTATTATTGATATTGGAGGCCACTGTGATGATGATCACTTGTTTAAAAATAGAAAACTAAAACCACTTCATTCTTGTTTTCATTGTTTTGAGAAACAACTCAAAATTATTTATAAAAAAGAAAAAAAGAAAAATCCCAAACTAGTCCCCAGACTATTCGAGCATGACCAATTTAGTTCCAAAATATCATAGTCCCAATTAGTCCCCCAACTATATATAATTGATCCAAAATAGTTCCTCATGTTGTAATTATAATATAAAATTGATCCCAATTTAGTCCTCTGACTTTACAAAATTTATTCCAATTTAGTCCCGAAGGGATCATTTGGGATTAATTTTATATAATCGAAGTATTAAATTGGAGCAACGCTATACTCTGGGACTAAAAGTAGCATATATGAATTGTAGAGGGGCTATTTTAAAATTTAACCCAAAAATTTAAGTGATTTACCATGCAAGTTTTATCTATATTTTGAAGTACTGGAAACATAAAAAATAAAAATCTAGAAAATTTGTGTTCAAAATTTTTCTATTAATTGTGTTATAATCAAGTCAATTATGCTCTTAAACATTTGGTTATTTTAACTTAATTGAGTAAACAATGGTAATAATTGAATTTTCCTAAATCTTCCCATGCTTTGGAAGATTTTGTGGAAGTGGCGATCATTTTAAAATTTTATAAACAAGTAAAATAATTTTAACACTGGCATATATGCAAAGTTATGTTGAAAAACATGGCATATTTGGCTAGTTTCGTTGAAAACTTTATATGACCACTAGAGTTTGTTATAAAACTTTAGTATTGATATTAAGGTTTCTCATGAATTCCTGGCATACATAAAATTTAGACACCTCCCTAGTAGCAGTATTAGCTTACAAGCTGTGGTGCCTGTCCTTTCAGGGATACATTGGACATCGATGACAAGAGCAACTATTATTTTTCTGCTTTATTTGTTGATTGATGTATTATGGAAATATTTGATTTTGTTTTAAACTAGTTTGGAGTTTCATGTTTATAGATATTGCTTAATTATTCTTAAGCGCCCCTTTTTGTTTGTAGAGGTCATAAGGCCATAAAGCTTATCATGAGTTCATAAAAAAGATTGAATTACAAAATTTTCTCTAGGGTTCTTCCTTTCAATTGATTCCCTCCAATTTTCTCCTATCAACTTCTTCCTCTCTTTTAATATCCTCTTCCTCCTCTTGCCTTCCTCTCTGCTGCAACTATACACTTAATTGGAACATCACCTCATCTCCCCTTGTATGACTCTTAATATCGCTCCTGATGCCATTTCCTTGTTCAATTTTCCTAACTTCTCTGCAGCTCGTCTGTTTCTCGATTTACTTTTCCTAACCTCTTTGGGGATCTTTCATGACAAGAGGTTTGAGTCTGTGAGAAATGATTGCATGCAGAACAAATGAATATCACGAAAACTCTCCTAAATTAAGTCAACTTCTTGAACTTAACTGCAACCACTTTCAAAACTTGTGAGGAACAAATTGTGCCTATGGGTCAAGGCATCACTTATTAAAATGCAAGCAAGTTCTTGAGATATGAGTTTAACTTATTATAATGCATGCACTGTCAAACGTTTTATTAGAACAAACTAGGCATATATGCAGCAACATTAAAATGAAAGCAAATTCAGTTGAGAAGTATCGTTCAACATCCATCAAAGTACATCTCTTATTTAATAAGATGTGGTTTTAGGATCCAGAACATAAGAAAAGTAGAAAGATAAAGCAGAAAATTGCATGTTCTGCTTCCTTCACAGCTTACTATCTCAAGCAACCCGCCTACAAATGGTGAGTCCATCGCCAATGCAAACCTGACACAATTCGATCCTTGGATCGGCAGCTAGTTCTTTGTTGAGCTTTATAGTGCTCTCGCGGTCCTCGTTGAAATCTTTGGGCATATCTGGATTCATTGGCGTCGCAACGCTGCCGAACCAGAGGGTGTTGTCATACAGTATCAGGCCACCAATTTTGACAATCTTGAGCAACCTTTCATGATAATTGCTGTAGTTCTCTTTGTCAGCATCCACAAATGCAAAATCAAACATTTCATCTTCATTCATCTGCGAGTAATAATTCAGGTAAATTGTAGTACAAAATTTACTTTATTTCAATTTTATGATGTAACATGTTCATCAATATACGACATAACTAGATAACGGATAGCACAGATGCTCTGAAATCATATTACATGGTTAAATAATGCTTGAGAATAACCTTAGATTATATATGCCATGTTTTAAAAATTGTGGCCTGTTCTACATAGAAGCACAAGTGAGAAAAGTTAGCTACAAATACCCATCCTGTAAAGCAAGTTGATGACAATTTTATGAGCACCGAGATTTTTTGTAAATTGATTCCTACTGTTGGCACATTTATTTTAAAGATTCTTCAGGCTATATCCCGTTATAATATCTTGCAAGTAAATATAATATTGATAAGATTTTGCTATAACATTCTAGTATTTAAAGGGCTTCATAGTTAGACCTATGGTGTGTAACTATGGAGCGGATAATCTATCTAGAATTCACATTAAGGCTTTGTTTGGGACGGCTTTCTTACTGCTTCTTAAAGCTGCTTTCTAGTATAAAAATTTTAATTTTTAAACTAAAAAGTCGTTTTAAAAAGCAATAAAAAAGTTGTCCCAAATGAAACCTAAATATCCATTTTATGTGATCTTATCCCGAGTTATCCTATATTTTCGTTCTTAACAATGTTTATATGGACAAGAAAAAAAAATATTTACCTCCTGAGCGAATTTGTCGAGAACTGGAAGAGCTTCTGATTCAATGAACTTGATCTTACCCTCAACACCTGCCTTCTGTATAAATGGCAGACCAATCTTGTAGTTTGACCTATCAACATCTATAGCAGTTATCTGTAAAAAGAAAAAGAAAAAAAAAAATCCGTGATGCATACTGTATTTACCAATGTACCCAATTTCATCCCCTCATGGCATTAAATAGCACCATGAAAGTGGAAGGCATACATAACACATAAAAATGCCGAGTTCTCACTTGCCTTGCCATCATTTGGCAATGCCAAAGCCGTAGAGAGAAGGGAGTAGCCTGTGAAAACCCCAATCTCTATAGTTTTCCTTGCATTTATCACCTTGAGCAGCATAGAGAGGATTTGGCCTTCCTCAGGGGGCACACTCATCACTGATCTGTTCTCATTCATTAAATACCAAGATTACAACAAAATAGTTTTTTTTTCCTTTGTTTTTTGAATCTATAAACCACACATCCATAATGAATCAGGCTTGCAAAGCCAGCTTAAGTTTTCTTTTGTAATGCTGAAAACTATTGTGTTGCATTGTTCTCTTATATTGAGATGAAAGAACCAGTTTCTGTGTTTTGTCTTAGTTGAAAAGCCATATAAAAAGCTAAGAAAAAGCTGCTATTGAAAGTCTCAAGTCTTGTTTAGTTCTGTGAAAGAAATGTTGCATTGTTTTGCAGAAGTGTGCATGATAATTCTCATATTATGAGGCTTTAGGTTTTGTTTGAGACAGTTTTCTTACTGCTTTTTAAAGCAGCTTTCTAGTTTAAAAATTTTAATTTTTATATTAGAAAGCTGTTTTAAGAAACAATAAGGCTTTGTTTGGGATGACTTTCTTACTACTTCTTAAAGTTGTTTTCTAGTATAAAAATTAAAACTTTTGTACTACAAAACTGCTTTAACAAGCAGTAAGAAAGCCGTCCCAAATGAAGCCTTAATCTTTGACAAATAAGCAGGTGAAAAAAGGATTAAGCATTGCCTGATGCATCTTTTCATGGTCTCCTCCCTCAGAGCCTTGAGCTGTTCATGTTCTCTAGGATAGACACTTGTGTGCAACATGTACTGCATACATTCATACATAGTTGTAGTGTGCCCGCTATTACTATCAAAGTGCACAATGGCTATTGAAACAGACTTGTTTAGAGAGAAATGAGGCTGAGAAGATGAGGAAAGGTCAAACCTGCAGGAGATCTTCACTTTGCAGGAGACACTTGTTGAAAATTCTACCAGGATTAGCCATTGAGAAAGATCTAACTTTGTTAGCTAAGTTCTCTCTCTATCTCTCTCTTTCTTTCTATCTGATTGATGAAAAACAAGAATAAGTTGCCGCAGGTTGGAAAGCGCTTCTTATGCGCCACTGCAAAGAACAAGTCGTTAAAGGTTGGTAGAGAACCTTGTAGTGAGCTCATGTTAACGGGATTAATAAGGAAAGTTTCAATTGGGTTTGGTATAATTGAGCTTGAATTTGATCTGAGTATAAATATCGAGGAAGCTGGTTTTTTGATCCACTGGCTTCCTGAGCTCAAATAAGCTCAGATTAATGTTTCGAGACGGTTTTTGTACTGCTTAAAGAAAATTGTTAGCATAAAAAATTAAATTTTTAACAAAAAAACTTCATTAAGAATCAATAAGAAAGTGCTCTCAAACGAAGCCTAGGGACGGCTTTTTTTATTGCTTTTTAAATCGGCTTTTTTAAATTTTTGTCCTAGAAAGCTGCTTTAAGAAGCCGCAAAAAAGCTGTCCTAAACGAAGACCAAGTATTTAGGGCAATTCACTCAAGAGAAATACTATAATTTTGTTTGTTTTTTTTTATTAGAAAAGAAAAGTTGAGTTACAAACTCATAAATATTTTTAAACATGCTTAACAAAAATAGAATCCCCTAAAGGCGACTTTCTTAGCATACATAAATTTAAAATATTTGAAATACACAGTACAATATGCTTTCAATTTTTTTTTTTTTCATAATTATACTACAATTCATAATTAAAGATCTGCAAATCTTTGCTATTGTTGATATTTCGACAATAATAAATCAGGACCGTTTATTCATTTCTATATATAATAATGTCAAAGTATGATTGGCATTTCAATCAGAATAAAAATCATTTATTCATTAATAATAAATTAATAATATTGATACAACTCCAGAAAGTTCACATTATTGATATGAATCTCGAGGTTTTTTTGAAATGAGACTTTTAGAACTAAATTCAGGATCATCTAAACTATGACTTCAACAAACTTATGGTCGAATTAAATGTTTGGACAAGATGAACCTATCGATGCTATAACTAATCTGATTCTAGTCAAAATGAGCTTAAATTAAGCATTTGATTTGGATACTTCTTAAGATAAATTGATGGATCAAATGCCTTCCAACATACACTTTACCGACAAAAATTTTCCAACACATAATAGTTTGACGCCATTTGTGAAAAATTTCCCAACATGCTATATTTCTTTAATAGCTGATAATAAATCTTTTACTCAGGATAGTCGAATATATATGGTGAAGGGCTGCACCCCAGGCTTCACTTTCGAGGTGCGAATGCATATGATGGAAAAACTTTAAATTCAAATTATGCAACTCTTAGAGGAGATTAAACAACAAATATATCTACCATAATTTGATAGGAGTTCTCCCACCATAAAATCAATAGTAATTTGGGTATGATGCCACTTATACAATATCATCTCATGTTGCAGTTCCTCCTCCACCACAACCTCATCAAAATTACTTAGATACGATAGTTCAATACATCCTTTTCGTGGTGCGATAAATCCATAATCCTCCACTAGTCATGGAAGATTTAAATCAACACCACGTTATTGAAGCCCCTTGCAATGTTATAAGAGATTTTTTTCTTTTCTATTGAATAAAAAATCCACGATAATATAAGAGATGTGTTATGAAGACTAATCCATTAGAGTTCCCTTTGAGTGAAATGAATAAACTTACTTATCTCCATAACTTTCGAGAATCTTCACCCCTAATCGATGCAATTCTTTAGCATCTCATTCTAGTGGGATTTAAGTTGCCAAAAATTGAACAATATGATATTATGATGAGATTTTTAATTTTTATGGGTGCATTGAGTATTATAGGACCATCATGCACATTCAACATGCCTTTGATACAACCCATCGCAAGATTTTTCCCACAACCCTTAAATGACAAGCTCGTACATTCTTTTGTGTATAACTTGAAGCAATCTGTAAAACAGAGATTAGAAAGAACTAAGGAAAACTGAAGCAGTAAGAACAAGCATTTATGTTAGAGGGATTTCATTTCACTGAATTAGTATTGAAGTCTCCTTATACATGTATATATAATAGAGAAGGGAATCAGAGTTTGTTATAATGACAGAGAGTGCAGATAGTGAGAGGCGTAGAGGTAGTGGCCTTTGGCTGTAATGGTCGTCTGTCCGAGGTAGTGGAGCAGTCCGATATAAGCAGATTTCCTTTTATAGGTGGTGGTCCTTATCTGCTATGCTAATAGCCCCCCCCCCCACAAACTTGTGATTCAGGTGCTCGAATTGCAAGTTTGTCTCTGAGTAGTTTGAAACGAGCAAGTGCTAACGGTTTGGATAAAATGCGCTCTCAAATAAAATGATAATCTATTTCGATGTGTTTCGTTCGAGCATGAAACACATGATTATTAGCGAGTGCTAAAGCTGAGGTGTTGTCACATGAGAGGATTATAGGAGAGCATGGGGCTACTTCAAAATCCGAAAGTAATCTTCTCAGCCAAATAATATCTGAGGTTGATGAAGCAAGAGACCTGTATTCCACTTCAGTGGAGGATTTTGCTACGATGACTTGTTTCTTCATATGCTAGGAGGCCAGGGAATTGCCTAGGAAGGTACAAAATCCAAAGATGGATTTTTGGTCAAGGGTATATGCTGCCCAATCAGAATCGGAGAATGAGTGAAGCTGGAGTGTACCGCGAGTGATTGGGAGACCAAAATGATGAGTTCCTTGGATATATCGTAGAAGCCTTTTGAGCATGTTGAAGTCTTTCTCGGTGGGATGATGCATATATATGTTGACAGATAATGTTTGTGGCATAGGCAATATCAAGTCTTGTTATAGTCAAATGCTGTAAGGAACCTGCTATATAGCTTTCGGTATTGCATAGAATCAGAGTGGAGGAAGTTGCTGGCAGTGGAGGTTGGTTTAACTGCTATAGGAGATTAGGATGGCTTGCAATCCGCAAGACATGCTGCTTGGACAAGATCCTGAGCATACTGTGATTGGCTTAGAAAGTAGCCATTGGATGTGTGGAGCACTTGGATACCCAGAAAAAAGGAGATTGGACCGAGGTCTTTGAGGGAGAACTGTGATTGCAGTTTGAGTATGAGCTCCGAAATGCTGGTTTTGTTGTTGCCTGTGATTAGAATGTCATCTACATACATGAGTATGTAGATTTGTATGTTTTGTTGCTTCAAGAATAATAGCGAAGGGTCAGACCTGTTGAATATAAATCTAACTGATTGAAGGAAGATTGTGAATGTATGAAACCATTGACGAGGGGCTTGTTTCAGCCCATATATAGTTTTATGTAATTTACAAACATAATTAGGATGGTTTTCATCAACAAAACATGGGGGTTGTTTCATGTAGACTTTCTCTTGTAAATTGCCATGCAAGAAGGCATTTGCGACATCTAATTGGAATACCGGCCAATTTTTATGAAGAGCAATGGTAAGCATGATGTGTATAGTTAGTATTTTCGCAACATGACTGACGGTCTCCTTGTAATCGATGCCAAACTCTTGATTAAAACCTTGTGCAACAAGTCTGAATTTATGTCTATCAAGAGTTCCATCAGATTTTAGCTTAGTGCGAAAAGTCCATCGGCAACAAAGTATGGTGCGATTGGGAGGGGGTGAAACAAGGGACCAAGTACCCTATTTTTGAAGCACAGTAAATGTTGAAATTTAATAAAATTGCAAACGATTGAATTAATGTCGAAACAAAAGCAAGGTTTTGTTTTAGTACTTTTTTGGAAAAAAAATAGAAGAATTAAATATCAAAAGATAATCAGACAAGAAAATGAAACATTTCAATGTTCAGTTGACATATTCAGTCGAAGATAATTCAGATATAAGTTTCAATACCTTTCAATTTAATAGTTTATCACAATGTTCAAATAGATCTCAATCCCAAAAGAGTTTTAAAAAAAATTATACTAGATGGTGGTCCTATATAAGATTGCAAAGCAAATAATGCTCTTAGGGGATTTGAAATCAAGATCCAACTACTGTTAGTAGATATCTTCAGTAGTGCCATCCCCAAAATTCAATATGTCATCTCTGTTTGGCAGTGAAGTTTGGAAGTGGTTAGCATGCATAAAGACTTTCATTTGAAGTATTCGCTTGAGTTTATTCAAAGATAGTCATTTGAGTCATGTCTATAGTGGTTACTTCAATTATTAAGTTACCAGTAAAATTCATCAATAATAAAAAAAGAGAGAGATGTGCTGAAAATAATAAATTGTAAGAGAAGCTTCTGCATTTACATCAGCAGCTCAATTCAAGCAAAAGTGAAGTGTCATCTTTAGCTCATGCGCAAAATGTGATCGAGGAAATTAGCAAGCTGAAGTTTAAATTGCAATAGTTTGGTTGGCCACGGCCCTCAAATACGGAAACAGATTGAATATTTTTTTATGCAAAATAAAGATATTTTATGATGGAAGTAAAAGTTTATTCATCTAAGATAAGCTATTTTTGGTGTTTCAATGCCAAAGAAAATTAGCTACAAAATAAAGATGAATTCAACCTGACATGCATTTCCTTAAAAGCTTATGACGGAAAAGCTAGTGTGAGTCTTGCACATAAAAGCAGCTATGAATATAGCTAATGCATACAGGATAAGTCGAATTAATTAAGAATAATTCCTTGTCACTTCTCAATGATTAACGCTTGAAAAATGATCCATGCAGAGGAGTAAATTATTGTTCTACAGTGCTATCCCTCTTTAAGGCATTATGACGAACATTATGCATGCGCAATAAGGGGTTTCTATAAAACTGCAGGCCACAATATAATATAAATAAATAAATAAATAAAATATAATGGATATAACTAATGGCATATATATTTAATTGTAATTAAAGACAATTTGTGTAAGGAGATATATGCCAGGAAAGCAAAATTGGTATGGGAAGGCTCTACGTTCAAAACCCTATTCATAACTGCCCGCGAACAGGTCGTGGCCACGATGGCCACTTACAGTTGTTGGTTCAAATCAGAATAAAACAAGCAAAAGAAAAAAAATAAGAGAGGTTACGCACACAGAAATTCAGTTCAGCCCGACGTCTCTCGAGCGCACGGTTCCTTCTCTCCCTCTCTTGCTCAAGCAACAATCAGACTCAGAATCTCTACCCGGAGCCCAGCCCGACGTCTTGCAAAGCTTCTACTACTCCAATTCCACCAATCGGCTCAAATCTGTTGGTCTCCTACCGCCACCTGTGGAAATCTCACCCCCGGCGCTCAAATCGGCTCATACGAACGGAAATTGACCGCCGACGGCACCTCCCGTTCGATCTCTGGCCTTCTTGTTGTAATCAAAGCCGATCCTGTAGAATATTACAAACCAAGAAACCAGAGACAGAGACGGAGAAGAGAACGGAAAGAGGAAGGAAAATAATATTGTATATTCATCTTATCTACAGTACATATGTGTGATATATATAGAATAGAGGAAGGAAGAGGTACACGTGTAAAACAGTAATAGGATAGCATCAATATATCTGTGTTAAGATATATGCTGCTTATAGACCCCCGCCTCTCTCTGCAACAAGGCTTGTTCCGATCTTCCCCGGCGTCTGCGACTCTTTGTCCGATCACTGCACTTGTAATTTCGGCTGCTTGAACAGTGAATATAATAGAGGGGAGAAGGTCATTAATAGTAATTACTATTAAACATTATATATATATATATATATATAACAATTAGAGGCGTCCCCGTCAGCAGTCAAAGCTTCTGAAGATCAAATCTCCTCGCCTTTTTGGAAAGATTGAAAAATTCTCAATCAATTAATTCAACTGCAATCTTAATAATCAACAAATGTAAATGGATATATAAATAACCTATATAATCTAATTCATTTTAATTAACCAATGGAAATTTAAAATCAGACAAAACTTAAAACTTAAATCAAAATTTCAATTAAGCAACTAATCTGGAAATTAATTAATTTAATATTAAAACTTTAATTAAAATTAAAAAAAGAGGTAATCTGAATTATTTTTTTTAATTTAATCAAACCATTTAATTTCAAACCAACTAAAGCCTTGAGAAATCCTCACATTCAAATATTTTCAGGGAGCGAACAAATGAAAAGACTAATTAACTGGCTACAAATTGTTTTGTCAATTAAATCACATAAGAGAAATTTAAACAATTAAATTACTATTCAAAATTTAAATTAACTTAAACCAAATTTAAATAGCTTAATAATTTTAAAATATATTCTAAATTTAAAAGTCACAAATTGATCAAATTAAATTAAATTAAAATTCAACATTTTTAATTAATCAACTTAATTAATTAATACAATAAATTAAATCAAAATAAAACATAAAATCAAAAAAGCATTAAAAAAATTAATAACTATGTTTTCTACTAAAAATCCAACTTAAGTACAAGTTATGACTCTCTCAAGCAAACAAACTCAAGCTCACACAAGGCCCGCAACAGTAACCTAAAACTATCTATTTGTGGGCTCCCTGAACTGATGCAAGTATCACGTACATGCAAGTAAACAGACAAAAGTCAGCACAATCACGAATAAAAGCAATGCTGAAAAAGTGTAATTCTAACTACTATAAATAGAACGAAGTGCTAGATAGCAAGTAGAGCAATAAACTATTGTAGTAGAAACAAACTACAAACACAAAAACATGACTTTAATACCATCGTCGAGGGAGTAAAGTGTTTAAAGCTATATCCTTGCTAATTTGAATCCTATAGGTTACTTCTAATGGAAGCAGTAAATCCTATCGGTAATTTTTTTTCACTTAATATATATTTATTAAGTGAAGCAATAAATTCCAAAAATTCTCTTGGCTACTTTTAAATGAAAACCATAAGTCTAATCTTTAGGAGTAATAGCTAGGAAGCAACCTAACCCTAAACCCCTTAATTAGGCATCTTAGCCTATATGACTAAGTTGTAAGACCCGATATTTGGGATACTTCTTAGCAAAGCAGTAAGACCCACACATTAGGGAACTTCTAAACAAACGACCATATAACCCAAAACTTAAAACCACAACGAGCAGCCTGGTTTATAAGAATTAGGTTATAAGACCCACCACCTGAAAACTTTCAAATAAAAGCTGTAAGTTCGACCTTAGGGGAATGTCTTAGGTAAAAAATGACATAACCTCTAACCCCCCATTAACAAACCTTGGGCTACTTCTAAGTGAAGCAGTAAGACCCGCATGTTAGAGAACTTCTATGTGAACGTCCCTAAATCTAAAATTCAAATCCCTTTGGGCATCTTAGCCTATAGGACTAAGTTGTAAGACCCGCCATTTGTGCTACTTCTAAGTGAAGCATTAAGACTCGCATGTTAGGAAACTTCTAAGTTAACGTCGCTAAATCTAAAATTCAAATCCCTTTGGACATCTTAGCCTATAAGACTAAGTTGTAAGTCCCGCCATTTGGGCTACTTCTAAGTGAAGCAGTAAGACCCGCGTGTTAGGGAACTTCTAAGTGAACGTCCCTAAATCTAAAATTCAAATCCCTTTGGGCATCTTAACCTATAGGACTAAGTTGTAAGACCCACTATTTGGGCTACTTCTAAATGAAGCAGTAAGACCCACGTGTTAGGTAACTTTTAAGTGAATGACCCTAGACCAAAAACTCAAAACCACTTGGGCATCTTAGTCTATAGGACTAAGTTGTAAGACCCGTCATTTGGGCTACTTCTAAGCAAAGCAGTAAGACCCACGTGTTGGGAAACTTCTAAATGAACGACTATATAACCAAAATAATTAAACCACTCGGGCCACTTAGCTTATAGGGCTAGGTCGTAAGACCCATCTTTAGGCAACTTCTAAGGAAGCCATAAGACCTACCCAATCAAAATTCTTCGGGCAACTCCTAATTGGAGCCGTAAGCCCCAAATTAAATAAATTAATTGAGCATCTTTTAGGGAAGTCATAAGCCCCTACCTAAATCAAATCATACGGGTGGGCAAAAGATGGGTAGAACTTGCCGTATCGGCAAGTTCATTATCCTGGCGTGATTGCAGATATCTTCTTGGCTAAGGAGGATGAATCTCCACTTGAAGATGTTTGAGTTGAACAGCTTTGGCCAGTGGTGAAGCTCGAGGGAGAAGAACCTCCTGCTGTGGTAATGCTGGTTGCCGAGACTCTCGCAGGAGTTGAAGGATCTTGTTCTGAGATTCTTTCATTTTTCGGATTCTCTCTTCCAGGGAGAGTCCCGAGGTTCCTTCTCCAATGACGTTTTGCCCTAGAGGGTAGAAAGATGTAGATATCATGAGTCTATGATTCATATACTAATTTCTGGACCGGTGGGAGTTGGAGCGAGAAGCTCCAATGATGCGACTGCTGCGCCTATTGACCATTATAGCAATATTTAGAGTTATGGAATAAGATTTCCCACAGACGACGCCAAACTATTGTGGGCTAGAATATATGCGGCGATAGAGTTAGAAAATTTTCATCTCAGCGTTGTAGTGATATCCAGCACACAAACAAGAGAGAAAAAAACATTAGGATTTTTACGTGGAAACCCTAGAAAGGGAAAAAACTACGGGACACACCCAGTTGAAATAATTCCACTAGTGTTTTATTTAAGGTACAAAAGGCTAACTCATTCTTAAATTTAGGACGATCAGATTATAATGCTACACTTTTGGATTGAAATCCAACTACATCGTCGGACAGAGTTTCGGCGTCACTTGGAGATCGAGCAGAATTCTGGCATCGTTTGGAAATTAGGCAGAATTGCGGCTACGTTCGGGCAGAATTCCAGCATCGTTCCAAAATGTGGCAGAATTGCAGCCTTCAGGCGGAAGTCCGACTGTGCTCGGACAGAATTCCAGCGGCAGTGGTTGAGGAGGAGTTTCTTCCCTCGTAACCTTCTTATCTTCTCTTCTCTTCTCCTTCTTATCTTCTTCCTCTTGCTTAGGTCCCCTCTCAAGAGAAATAAGGGGACTATTTATAGATTTTCTGAAATGGCATGGCCCGTAAATAGATGAGGGATCAGGGGCAAATATGGAGTGGTTCGGATGAATGGTCGATATTAAATCCTTCGATCATGGACTATTTATTAGGCTTTTGAAGGTCTTAATGACTTCAGAATTTTGCAATATGGGGCTCGTTGTATTTGACTCATAGAGCTGCTCGATTTAACTATAAGTTCGTCAAATTCGAAAACCGTTTGGCAACTCAAATTATGATACGAACTTTCCAACAATGCTTCGGGTCCTTGATTTAGACTCATTTGGGCTCGGATTGAGTCGAATTTGATGTCGTTGGGTTTGTATTTCCGAGACGCTCAGTTTGACTATAAGTTTGCCAAAATCGGAGTTAAGGTGAACCCGGATTTAATTTTTGAAGTTTCCGGGTTGATTTTTCTTCGAGATTCATACCCGATCAAGATAATTTTTTGATGATATATCAATAATAATTTTAACACTGGCATATATGCAAAGTTATGTTGAAAAACATGGCATATTTACCTAGTTTCGTTGAAAACTTTATAAAACCACTAGAGTTTGTTATAAAACTTTAGTATATATTGATATTAAGGTTTCTCATGAATTCCTGACATACATAAAATTTAGGCACATCTCTAGTTACAGTATTAGCTTACAAGCTGTGGTGCTTGTCCTTTCAGGGATACATTGGACATCGATGACAAGAGCAATTATTATTTTTCTGCATTATTTGTTGATTAATGTATTATGGAAATATTTGATTTTGTTTTAAACTTGTTCAGAGTAACAAGAAGAGAACGAGTACAGCTGTAATAAAACAAATGAGGATGCGAACAAATAACACAGGACACGTCAGCAAGAAACAAGAAATGATTCACATGTTTTAGATTAATTCTCAACCACATGTTTTATGTATGAAATAGTATAAATACATGTAATACATATGAGATACAATACAAGAAATCTATACATCAATATCTTCTCAAACTCAGATTTCCTGCTTCTTTATGGTATCATAGCAGCGATTCTTCATTTTTGCTGCTAGCTCAGATTCTTCAAAATTACACAAGTAAGCGATACCAATGGCTCAATCCTCTTCTTCCCAAACCGCAAATTCTTCATCCGACACAAATACTGATGTTTGCAATATACCTGCAACCTTGAAATTTGTCATTTCGAACATCAAGAACATTGTTCCTACACAATTATCGAATGATAATTATCCCATATGGAAATCTAAAATCACAAAATTGTTAAGGGCAAATGGATTTTACAATTTTGTGGATTCCAGTTTTACTCCACCAAATCGTCTACACTAGGCAAATGATGGACCATCCGTCATTAATCCGTAGTACACAAAATGGGTTTTGATAGATCAAAACCTAGCAGCTGCGCTTTGTTTTACAATTTCTACAGCCATTCTCCTATATGTTCTTCACCTTGATTCGTCAGCTGCAATATGGAATACCATCGAAAGAAGATTACAGGCATCTAACAGGTCAAGAGTAATTCAATTAAAGAATGAGTTACACAATGTTTCGATGAAACAACAGACCATGGCCGAATATTTGAACGAGGTTAAGACGCTGGTCGATAAAATTGCAGCTGCAGGAGCAACAATTGATAAAGAAGATGTTATACTATACACGTTAAATGGCTTACCTTCAATATACCAACCATTCAAAAGCACCATATGCACAATCGTACAACCAATAAGTCTTGATGACTTATACGCTTTTTTAATTAGTGAAGAGATCAATCTCAATGCAGAAGCAGCAAAATAACTCAGTTTCGCAGATCAGAATATAGCATTGTACACCAACAGAGGAAGAGGAAGAAGAGGAAGAGGTAGACAAAACTACCAGACACTAGAACCAACAGTCAACCCAAATAGCAATGCCAAATATGTAACAAGAAGGGTCACTCGGCCAACAACTGTTGGCATAGATTCAACAACAATTATGTTCCCCCACCACCAAAAGGCAACACAGCCCTCAGTGCCACGAATGAAAATCACAATCCAGATTGGTATCTGGATTCCGGGGCAACAGCTCATCTGACAAATGACATCAAAAATCTCGCATTAGGAGATCCCATACCATACAATGGTACAAACAATATACAAATTGGAGATGACAGCACCATTCCCATTACTCACACCGGGGCAGGCATACTACCAATTCCCAATCGTAAGTTACTACTATCTCAAATCCTCCACATTCCCCAACTTTCTCACAAACTTCTTTCTATTCACCACCTAACCAAAGTCAATAACATTACCATCACATTTGATGAATTTGGCTTTACTGTCAAGGACATCAATACAAATCAAATCCTGCTTCAGGGTCCAAGTCGTAATGGACTCTACTCGATATCCACCACATTATCCAAGATCAGACCCATCCTCACAGCCGTTCACCAACTCCCCGATACATGGCATAACAGACTTGGACATCCCAATGTCAGAACCATAACATCCATATCAAATAACAACCACACTTTCAGAATGTCAAAACCTTCCAATACTTGTACAACATGTAAACTGGCTAAAAGCCACTGGCTACAATTTCCCATTTCTATTTCTCGTCCAAAGTTCCTTTAGAACTACTACATTCAGATGTATAGGGTCCTGCCCCAATCACCTCATATCAAGGTTTTAGATATTACATTCTTTTGATAGATGATCATTCTCGATTTACAAGGGTTTTTCCTATAAAATCAAAATCTGAGGTGCCAGAAACATTCATCATGTTTCATATAATGATAGAAAAACAAATGAATTACAAAGTGAAACAATTCAAATCTGATGAAGGATCAGAGTTCATAAACAGAACACTACAAACTACCTGCAAAAGCATGGCATAATACATCAGATTTCATGCCCATACACGCCTAAACAAAACGGCACAACTGAGAGGAAACATAGACACTTGATAGAAACAACAAGGGCATTGATTAATACGGCATCAGTTCCATATATATACTAGCCTGATACAGTTCTCATGGCATCATACTTGATCAACAGAATGTCATCTCAGAACACCCACAACAAATCTCCATACCAGCTGCTATACAACAAGTCTCCAAACTACTCCATATTAAAAACTTTTGGATGTGAATGTTTCCAATGGATACCACCACAAAACAGACATAAATTAGCCCCCAGAGCTACATCAAGTATTTTTTTGGGATACTCATCATCTCATAAAGGATACAAATGTCCGAACCCTCACACAAACCAAATAACCATATCAAGACATGTCACATTCCACGAAAACACATTCCCGTTTACCAAAATTTCTTAGCCCAACATCACACCTGTCACCTCCAATGTTCCTAACAATCCCTACCTTCTCACACCCATGACACATAACACTACAAATACATCCCAGATAATCATCCCACCTTCAACAACATCTCAGCCGACACATCAAACAACTCTTATCACACAAAACACTCCACAATCAATTAACTCCTCCATACCAACACCCATACCACCACCAATACACACACACCCCATGATAACAAGACTCAAAATGGGATCCCTCAAACCCAAAACCATCCTCAACCTGCTACATCAAAATTCCCCAAACCAAGACCCAATTTCTTTCAAAGAAACATCGAAACATTCACATTGGAAACAAGCTATGGAAAAAGAATTCACGACACTTCAGCAACAACAAACATGGTCACTTGTACCACCACCACAAAATACTCCAGTATTAGGTTGTAAATGGACCTACAAAATGAAATTCCATTCAGATGGATTCATTGCAAGGTACAAGGCACGACTGGAGGCTCAGGGCAACCTGCAACAATATGAAATAAACTATCTGGAAACATTTAGCCCAGTAGCAAATTTTCCAACAATCAGAATGCTCTTCACTATTGCACTCAATAAAAAATGGGAGGTGCAACAACTCGATGTGAATAATGCTTTTCTACATGGAAGATTGACAGACACAATATACATGAGACAGCAACCAGGATATGAAGACAAAGAAAACCCAGAGCATGTTTGTCGGCTCCACAAAGCAATATACAGGCTAAAACAAGCATCAAGACAATGGTTCAACACGTTCTCAACCTGCTTACAAAAACTTGGCTTTCAACCAAGTAAAGCAGATCCGTCCCTTATGATACTTTCAAAATATGAATCCCATATATACATATTAACCTATGTAAATGATATATTACTCACGGGTAATGACCTAGAACTCATATCTAGCATCATATTGAAACTACAAAACACATTTTTCATGAAACATTTAGGTAGGGCAAACAATTTTCTTGGCATACAAATACTCACATACCAAAATTGTATTTTCCTATCTCAAGCACAATATGCAAAATCCTTACTTCAACCCACTACTATGCATGCATGTAAGCCCCTGTCAAATCCATCATGCACTAAATCACCACAGCATATACCACATGATCCTATTCTCACAGATCCATACACATAACGAAAAATAATAGGGTCCCTACAATACTTGACCATAACCAGACCTGACATAGCATTTCATGTTAACTTACTTTGTCAACGCATGCATAATCCACAGCCACTTCATGCATATCTACTCAAAAGATTACTCAGATACATAAGAGGGACATAAAACTACGGTCTTCCTACTCGTATGGACCGCTAGAACTATCAACATAAATGAGAAGATATACCTCCGGATATTGTTCCGTTCTCGGAATCACACCGATTTCGTGGGCAGTAAAGAAACAATATACCGTGGCCAGATCATCAACTGAAGCAAAATACAGAGCTCTCGCGGCAACCATTACCGACATCATCTGGCTGAGACAACTGCTTCAAGACTTCAAAATACAAGTTTTGCATCCTACAGACCTTCACTGTGACAATACTTCAACCATAGCATTAGCCAATAACCCAGTATTTCATGCAAGAACAAAACACATAGAAATAGATCATCACTTCATACGACACCATATACACTCGAACATCATTCGAGTTCAGAAGATTAGCACACAGGATCAGCTCGCTGACATCTTGACAAAGCCTCTCTCCACTTCGAGCTACCATTTCCTCAGAAACAAGCTCAGGTTTTCCGAAAACCCTCAGTTTGAAGGGCGATAACAAGAAGAGAACGAATACAGCCGAAGAGAACGAGTACAGTCGTAATAAAACAGATGAGGATGCGAACAAATAACACAGGACACGTCAGCAAGAAACAAGAAATGATTGACAGCCACTTGTTTTAGATTAATTCTCAACTACATGTTTTATGTATGAAATAGTATAAATACATGTAATACATATGAGATACAATACAAGAAATCTATACATCAGTATCTGTCTCAAACTCAAATTTCCCGCTTCTTTACGGAGTTTCAAGTTTATAGATATTGCTTAATTATTCTTAAGCGCCCCTTTTTGTTTGTAGAGAAGGTCATTAGACCATAAAGCTTATCATGAGTTCATAAAGAAGATTGAATTACAAAATTTTCTCTAAGTTTCTTCCTTTCAATCGATTCCCTCCAATTTTCTCCTCCTCTCATATTCTTTCTCTCTTTAATAACCTCTTCCTCCTCCTCTTGCCTTCCTCTCTGCTGCAACAATGCACTTAATTAGAACATCACCCTATCTCCCCTTCAATTTTCCTAACTTCTCTGCAGCTCGTTTGTTTCTCGATTTACTTTTCCTAACCTCTTTGGGGGTCTTTCATAACAAGATCTTTGAGTTTGTGAGAAATGATTGCATGCAGAACAAATGAATATCACGAAAACTCTCCTAAATTAAGTCAACTTCTTGAACTTAACTGCAACAACTTTCAAAACTTGTGAGGGACAAACTAGGCTTATTTGCAGCATCATTAAAATTAAAGCAAATTCAGTTGAGAAGTATCGTTCAACATCCATCAAAGTACATCTCTTATTTAATAAGATGTGGTTTTAGGATCCAGAACATAAGAAAAGTGGAAAGATAAAGCAGAAACTTGCTTGTTCTGCTTCATTCAAAGCTTACTGTCTCAAGCAACCCGCCTACAAATGGTGAGTCCATCGCCAATGCAAACCTGACACAATTCGATCCTTGGATCGGCAGCTAGTTCTTTGTTGAACTTTATAATGCTCTCGCGGTCCTCGTTGAAATATTTGGGCATATCTGGATTCATTGGCGTCGCAACGCTGCCGAACCAGAGGGTGTTGTCATACAGTATCAGGCCACCAATTTTGACAATCTTGAGCAACCTTTCATGATAATTGCTGTAGTTCTCTTTGTCAGCATCCACAAATGCAAAATCAAACATTTCATCTTCATTCATCTGCAAGTAATAATTCAGGTAAATTGTAGTGCAAAATTTACTTTATTTCAATTTTATGATGTAACATGTTCATCAGTATACGACATAACTAGATAACGGATAGCACAGATGCTCTGAAATCATATTACATGGTTAAATAATGCTTGAGAATAACCTTAGATTATATATGCCATGTTTTAAAAATTGTGGCCTGTTCTACATAGAAGCACAAGTGAGAAAAGTTAGCTACAAATACCCATCCTGTAAAGCAAGCTGATGACAATTTTATGAGCACCGAGTTTTTTTGTAAATTGATTCCTACTGTTGGCACATTTATTTTAAAGATTCTTCAGGTTATATCCCGTTATAATATCTTGCAAGTAAATATAATATTGATAAGATTTTGCTATAACATTCTAGTATTTAAAGGGCTTCATAGTTAGACCTATGGTGTGCAACTATGGAGTGGATAATCTATCTAGAATTCACATTAAGGCTTCGTTTGGGACGACTTTCTTACTGCTTCTTAAAGCTGCTTTCTAGTATAAAAATTTTAATTTTTAAACTAAAAAATTATTTTAAGAAGCAATAAAAAAGTTGTCCCAAATGAAACATAAATATCTATTTTCTGTGATCTTTTCCCGAGTTCTCCTATATTTTCATTCTTAACAATGTTTATAAGGACAAGAAATAAATATTTACCTCTTGAACGAATTTGTCGAGAACTGGAAGAGCTTCTGATTCAATGAACTTGATCTTACCCTCAACACCAGCCTTCTGTATAAACGGCAGACCAATCTTGTAGTTTGACCTATCAACATCTATAGCAGTTATCTGTAAAAAAAAAAAAAAAAAACCTTGATCTATTTACCAATGTACTATTTCATCCCCTCATGGCATAAAATAGCACCATGAAGATGGAAGGCATACATAACACATAAAAATGCCGAGTTCTCACTTGCCTTGCCATCATTTGGCAATGCCAAAGCCGTAGAGAGAAGGGAGTAGCCGGTGAAAACCCCAATCTCTATAGTTTTCCTTGCATTTATAACCTTGAGCAGCATAGAGAGGATTTGGCCTTCCTCAGGGGGCACACTCATCACCGATCTGTTCTCACTCATTAAATACCAAGATTACAACAAAATAGTTTTTTTTTTCTTTGTTTTTTGAATCTATAAACCACACATCCATAATGAATCAGGCTTGCAAAGCCAGCTTATGTTTTCTTTTGTAATGCTGTAACTATTGTGTTGCATTGTTCTCTTATATTGAGATGAAAGATCCAGTTTCTGTGTTTTGTCTTAGTTGAAAAGCCATGTAAATAGTACCCATACAATTTAGGATCATTGGTTAAAATAACCCAAGTTTTAAGTCTTGTGCAGCAGTGCTTCTCTTTCTCAGAAAAGCTGCTATTGAAAGTCTAAGTCTTGTTTAGTTCTTAGAAAGAAATGTTGCATTGTTTTGCAGAAGTGTGCTTTGCAATTCTCATATTATGAGGCTTTAGGCTTTGTTTGGGACGGCTCTTAAAGTAGCTTTTTAGTATAAATTTTTTAATTTTTATACTAAAAAGCTGCTTTAAGAAGCAAGAAGAAAGCCGTCCCAAACGAAGTCTTGCTTCTTAAAATAGGTTTTTAGTACAAAAAGTAAAATTTTTGTACTAAAAAACTGTTTTAAGAAACAGTAAGAAAGCCGTCCCAAACGAAACCTTAATCTTTGACAAATAAGCAGGTGAAAAAGGGATTAAGCATTGCCTGATGCATCTTTTCATGGTCTCCTCCCTCAGAGCCTTGAGCTGTTCATGTTCTCTAGGATAGACACTTGTGTCCAACATGTACTGCATCCATTCATACATAATTGTAGTGTTAGATGCCCGCTATTACTATCAAAGTGCACAATGGATATTGAAACAGCCACTTGTTTAGAGAGAAATGAGGCTGAGAAGATGAGGAAAGATCAGACCTGCAGGAGACCTTCACTTTGCAGGAGACACTTGTCGAAAATTCTACCAGGATTGGCCATTGAGAAAGATCTAACTTTGTTAGCTAAGTTCTCTCTCTATCTCTCTCGTTCTTTCTCTCTGATTGATGAAAAACAAGAAACAATTGAGCAATGGAATAAGCAAAAGCACAAGGAGCCAAGGCCAGAACTCTCTGTTATGGCTGCCAATCTTCCCTTTAGGGTGCAAAGTAGCCATAGTTTGGAAAGCGCTTCTTATGCGCCACTGCAAAGAACAAGTCGTTGAAGGTTGTTAGAGATCCTTGGAATGCGCTCATGTTAACCGGATTAATATGGAAAGTCTCAATTGGGTTTGGTATAATTGAGCTTGAGTCTGATCTGCGTATATACTTCGTTCGGGACGACTTTCATACTGATTTTTAAAGCAGTTTTTTATATTATTGGTATTTTGACAATAATAAATCAGGATCGTTTATTCATTTCAATATATAATAATGTCAAAGTAAGGTTGATATTTCATTAAAATCAAACATAGATAAGAAATTCATTATTGTTATCCATATTATCATTAAAAATATGATTGGCATTTCATTCAGAATAAAAGATCATTTATTCATTAATAATAATATTGATACAACTCCAGAAAATTCACATTATCTGCATGAATCTCATGGTAATATTTGAATTGAGGCTTTTAGAACTAAATTTAGGATCAGCTGAATCTCATACATTTTACCGACATAAATTTTCTAACACATTATAAAATGAATAGTAATTTGGGTATGATGCCACTTATACATTATCTCATGCTGCAGTTCCTCCTTCACCACAACCTCATCAATAATATTTAGATACGATCAGTTCAATACATCCTCTCTGAATTGTTCGACCAGCCCATAATGCTCCACTCGTCATGGAAGATTTAAATCAACATCACTTTATTGAAGCCCCTCGCGATGTTATAAGAGATGTGTTATGACGACTAATCCATTAGGGTTCCCTTTGAGGGAAATGAATAAACTTACTTATCTCCATAGCTTTCAAGAATCTTCACCCCTAATCTACGCAATTCTCTAGCATCTCATTATATTGGGATTTAAGTTGCTTAAAATTGTTTGGCAATATGCAACCCACCATTGTTAGCCCACATTTCAGATGTTGCCAAGCTCTTGGCCTCCAACCAAAGGCAACTCTCACTTTGCAAGCTTATAATAAAATCGAGCGTCATGATGGACGAATCCAATGAGCTCAATATTGTTTATACTTGATATCATTAAAGCACATAAAGGTTAAAAAAAATGATCTATGATTAAGAAAAGTAATGTAGGTTGTTCAATGGAATGTTCTAGGTTTTGAGTATATTCTTGTCAATAAAAAAATATATAAATAAGCCACACTCTATATGAAAATGATCATAGGTTGGAGATTCAAGAGAATTTAGAGGCTTAAAAAAATTCTAGAGCTCCACCCGATTAACTAATGTTAGATCACCATCGTCGAATCATTCCTGATTGCTATTGATCATAGACTATTAGTTGATCGTCACCATCGAACTAAAGCCACCTAACTACCGTTATTAGACCTCTACTGCACGAAATCCATTGTCAGACTGCCGCCACCTAAGCACCATCATAAGAACCCAACCGATTGAACAACTTCGTAGGATCACCATCCGAACTTCATCGTCGGACCATCGCCTGATGACCATCATCATACAACCATCATGAAATTGCTATCGCCTGACCTTTGTTGTAGGTAGAACTTTTGTCACTTCCTCCACCCTCAGGTCACAGCCGCTCGACCACCATTATTAATAGAGGAACAATTTTTTTATAATGAAAGCTTACATTACATAATTGTTCTAGTTGCTCTATGCCTTACTGTTTTTACCTTTTTAGAATTTTCCACCTACGAATTAGGATGTAAAATTCTCTCTACCACAATAATTTTCAAACAAGCAACAAATATTAGGAGTGTCACAAGCCAACTATTATAAGTCCAAACTTCATTAAACAAAACATGTAATGATGTAACCATCACAAACGATTCTTAGATGTTTTTTCCGCAACAGATAAACCATAATCATGAGAACAATACACTGAACATAGCTCAGAGGATAACAGACGACCAGCTGCTTCTATAGCTACATCATAATCCATTCCAGTTCAGACGACGCGGCGGCAAATCGTGAGCCCATCGCCGATACAAACCTGCGACAACTCGATCCTCGTATCGGCGGCGATCTTCTCGTTGAATTTCAGCACAGCTTCCCTCACAGAATTGATGAATTCTGGAACGTCTTGTTGAGGAGGATGCGCAACTGTTCCAAGCCAAAGTGTGTTGTCATAGCATATGAGCCCTCCAACTCTCACTAGCTTCAGTAGCCTCTCATGGTACTCCCAATAGTTTGATTTTTCAGCATCAACAAAGGCGAAATCAAACAGCTCATCCTCTGTAACCTGTTATGCATATACATATCTATAAGAACATCGTTGATCTTGCACTAAGGGGCTGTTTGGTATGCAGATTTAGGCCGGATTTAAGGCAAAATCCAGCCAAATGGCCTAAAATGTAAAACCAAATCAGCCTTTTCGTTGTAAATCCCGGATTTCGGAAATCCTCTCGTTCGGCGGATTACCGAAATCCTTTGACTCTATTGGCATGGGAAAGAAGAAACTCCGCTCAAATCTTTCAAACTCCTTAAATCCTGAATGGCATAGCCAAACAATCATATAGGATTTATTATGAAGGTTTTTTAGGATTTAACCCCCCCTCAGGATTTCGTAAATCCAGATTTGGAGGATTTACAAAATTCTACTTAAATGAAATCCTAAATTCTACCAAACTGCCCCCTAAACGATCAACAAATTCAAGCTTAAGCTATCTTTATAACATGAAAATGATTATTAATTGATGATGGACCTCATGAACCAATTTGTCAAGAGCTGGAACAGCATCTGATTCGATGAAATCGATCTTGTGCTCAACTCCTGCTTCCTTGATGAATGGAAGGCCGATCTCATAGCACTTTCTGGAGATGTCGATCGCCGTTATCTGAATTTGATAACAGAAAATTGATCGTATAAGCTGTACTGATCGATGGAGTGATCATATTAAAAATTTGGTGTTAAAAGTAACCTTGGCATCCTCGGGTAAGGCAAGTGCTGTGGCAAGAAGAGAGTAGCCGGTGAAGACCCCAACTTCTATGGTTCTCTTGGCGTTCATTACCTTGAGGATTATTGAAAGGAGCTGCCCTTCTTCAGGGGGGACATTCATTAATGCTCTGCCAAGACCAAAATTGAATGATAGGTAGATGATTAAGGTTTTGTTTGGGATGACTTTTTTGTTGCTTTTTAAAGCATCTTTCTAGTATACAAATTTTAATTTTTGTACTAAAAAATTGGGTTAAGAAGCAACAAAAAGCCGTCCCAAATGAAGCATGAGAGTTAAGAAATGTATTAATAAGGAGACATAAAAAAGTAAACGATAGGGTTTGATCAACTTTTAGTCCGAATGTTTTTAGGACATCTAGGCCAATTAAATCAGCTTTGAAATGCGTGCCATACATAATCAAAATAGATCCAAGAACTTAAGGGGTTGTTTGGTAGCAAAATTTTGGCCGGATTTGACCCAAATTTGAGCGAAATCCAACCAAACAACCTAAAAATGCAAAACCAAATCTCACGGCAAATCAAAGCCACCATAGACAAAAAATTCCACCTTTTTTTGCTATATCCCCGATTTCTGAAATCCTATTTTTTTGCCGGATTTAGTAAATCCGTTGGCTCGAGAGGAAGAGCATGCTCATTAAATCCGTTTTATTGCCAAACTGTTACCAAGCAATTTTAAGAATTTAGGCTCCTCAGAATTTTCGAAATCCAGATTTAGCGGATTTAGAAAATCCTATTTAAATCAAATCCTTAGTGCTACCAAAGAGCCCCTAAAAGTCCATCACACAAGTATTTTTCCTCAAATAAAAAGGGCTTGCTTGAAGATTATAGTGTAAAATAAGTAAAGGCTTGCTTGCCTTTTGGGAATCCTGGCCTTAGTCTCCGCTCTAAGCTTCTTAAGCAGTTCATGCTCCTTCGGCAGGACGTTGGTCTCCAATATGTACTGCATATGTACATAGTAAATTAAACGTTTTACTACTGTCCGATATAGCTTTTAAATATACAGGAAGTACTGCATGAAGTGAGATAGCAAAACCTGATGCAGAGCTTCGCTTTGCAGAAGGCACTTTTCGAGATTGGAGAGATCATTACCGTCCATTTTTAGAGAGAAAGAAGAGACTGGCTTCTCCTTCGCCGCACAGGAAGAAGAATGCAAAGACCAGAAACCTTTGGCCTGCTATAAATTTGCGGTAGCAGGTTGAGAACAATATGTATATGGATTATGAATAAAAATCAAGTTGTTTACATTTTTTTATTAAATTTTTTATATATAAAACTTGCAGCCCAATCAGGATATCTGTTATTTAATTTCTCAAAATAATAAAAAAAATTGGTGCGTTAAGAGAGGACAAGTTTTTTTTTTTTTGTTTTTTGTTTTCCTTATCAATATGGGTCTCGAGTCCCACACTTGAGCTGGCTAATGATAAAATAAAGATTTTACTAACATCTTATCGGCTTATCCTGAAGACGTCGCCTTCGTTGAAGCAAATTCAAAAAATAAACGTAGTTTCTTGCACAATGCAGCGGCGGTCGGTCCTCCGTCCTCCTACGATCATCGCCGCCCTCTTGGAAGAGCATTGCGGCCGTCGCGGCCAGCGCTGCCAAGCTCTCTGGTAATTTTGCCATCACTTAGGTTGCAAGTGAGTCAAGCAAATGCTTGAGACGGCTTTCTTCTTGCTTCATAGAGTAGCTTTTTAGTAAAAAAATAAAATTTTTGTATTAGAAAGCCGCTTTAAAAAGCATTAAGAAAGCCGTCCCAAACAAAGCCTAAGTTGTTCCTTCAGATTAGAGAAGCTGGGCTGTTGTTCTCCAATTGTGCCGCAATCATGTTGAAGTTGAGGATAAAAAGCCTATTGAAATTAGCAAGTCCATATAATCCATTGGGTGATTGAGAAGGGTTTTGGTTAGGATTGCATCGCCTCAATCTTCTTAAGGTTGGTTTGGGCGCTCCTGCCACTAATAAGAAAGCCCAAAAAATATACTTCAGTTAATGCAAATTTTCTTTTGCATACATTTGTACATAATTGCTATCTCAAAGAGCAGTAAACTGCTGTTTGAAGTGGCAAAGACCATAATCTAAGATTTTGTTTGGGTGATTTTTTTATTGCTTTTTAAATCAGAGTTTTAGTACAAAATTTTTAATTTTTTTTACTAAAACTCTGTTTTAAAAAACAATGAAAAAGTTGTCCCAAATGAAACCTAAGAAAATATTATTGACTGAATATAACCTACGAACTAAATAAAAAATTACGTATCTCATCTTAGTCTGTTTGTTAGGAGTTTTTGCTACCAACTAAAAGGTCTTGGATTCGAGTCTTGTGTATGTAATGTATGTATGAATTTACCTTAATTGACCTAAATGTCTCTAAAAAAACCTAAATAAAAACCCTTAATTATACGTGCAACTGCATACTTAAACCTAATTGGTTGTTGCACATTCTAATAATGAATTTAATAATTTCTCAATATATTGAGGGTTAGAATAGAATTGATCACAAATAGTGAAATTTCAAGCAATAAATATTTTTTGCTTGAGTTGATTGTATTATATTGAGCAATGTTAGTGTTGCGTCATGGAGTATTCGTGGCGATAGAGAAATATAAAGTTTAATGTCTTAGCGTTGTACGAAGATTCAGCACACACATAGATAAAAAGAGAGGGTGCATCATTCACTGGAGACACCAAGATTTTTATGTTGAAACCCCCTTAAAAAAGGGGGAAAAACCACGGGGCCTAACCCAATTTGAATGAATTCACTAGTATTGTAGTTGATTATAAATGATGCTCTTTATTGGGGGAAAGCCTTAGCTTGACGTACATCTTATTTAGTTCATTACATGGTATGGATATAAAGAATCACTATTAGCGTGTTCGTTTGGTTATAAGGACCATAGTCTGGTGACGGAAGTCATAAATATTGTTGTCTGGCGACGGAGGTCGAAAGGACTGTAGTCGGTGGGCGACGTAAGTCTGAAGGACCATAGTCGGCGGGCGACGGAGGTCGGAAGGATGGTGTCAGGTAGACATCTAGTAATGGATAGAAATTCGACATCAGATAAATATCTGGCGAAAGTCCGACAACAGGCATAAGTCCGACGTTGGGTAGAAACTTGGTGACAAGTGGAGGTCCGGCGTCGGGTAGAAGTTTGAAGTCAGTTGGGAGCCGAGGAGAACTCCGACGTTAGATGGTATTCGAACAGAACTCCGGCGTCACTTGGAGTTCGGGTGAAACTTCAGCATCACTTGAAGATTGGATAGAAACCCGGCGTCACTTGGACGTCGGGCGAAATTCCGACATTACTTGGAGATCGGGAGGAATTCCGGCGTCACTTGGATGTCGGGCATAATTCCGGCGGTGGTCGAGGAAGTGTTTCTTCCCTCATATCTTTCTTTTCTTCTCTTCTCCTTCTTCTCTTCTTCTTCTTGCTTGGGCCCCTAGAGTCCCTTCTCAAGAGAAATGAGGGACTATTTATAGTCTTTTTACGATGGCATGACCCGTAAATAAGAGGAGGATCAAGAGCAAATCTAGAGTAGTTCAGATGGACGACTGATATTGAATCCCTTGATTATGGACCGTTCGTCAGACATTTGAAGGTCTTAATGATGTCGGAATTCGACGATCTTGGGCTTGTTGGATTCGTCTCGTCGAGCCGCTCGATTCGATTATAGGCATGTCATGTTTGGAAACAATTTGGTAATCCAAATTGTGGATTGAACCTTCCAAATGTGCTTCGGGCTTTTGATTCATACCCATTTGGGCTTGGATTGAGCTGAATTTGGTGTCGTTGGGTTCATAATTCTGAGACGATCAGTTCGACTATATGTTTGTTGAAATTGGTATTCAGATGGTCTCAAATTTAATTTTTTCCTCGAGATTCGTGCCCGATCAAGATAATTTTTTTGATGATATATAAGTTAGTAAGTGAAAGAGCACTTAATTATAAAAGATATATTTATTTATTTATTTTTAAAATGATGAGCAATAAAGAATAAAGTATGCGGCAGGAATATGTGATTTTTGATTTATTACCAACTCCATTAACCCATGGGCCATGGGTCCTTTCACAAATACATATATCTTAAATACATTATGTGAAATTGCCATAAAGAGGTATGTTATTTATGGAGAAGTCATATCCTTACACTTATTTCCCAAAAAAAAAAAATCCTTACACTTAGTTGCCTTATTATTTATTTCTATTAATAAAAAATATTTGATTTTATATACCCCATAAAATTAAAAATTTAAGAAACATGTCAATTATTTATTTTCTTTGGAAAATATTCCTAAAAATTTATTTTGAATCTTACTTAACCTGACTTTAATTGGTTTGAATTCAAACTTAAAATCAAAGCAAATTTATACATGGTTCAAATTTGGTTCGAATCAATTTTGAATTGAGGGATTTTGCTTGACTGCATCGTGTGAAGAGAAGGGAATTGCGGTGAAAAGAAGGGATATAAGAATGAGAGGTTGTTAGGGCCACTAACGAAATCATGAACACACAAAGAGAATGGGGTTTTGCATGGGAGCAAGCTGCAGGCTTAATTTCATGATGGGAGGTCGCTATGGCTAGACATAGGGATCATGAATGTGTGAGGAGAAAGGCACTTCATATAGGAGCTAGTTGGGGGCTTACTTTCAAGATGGAAGGTCATTGGGGCTTGCCAATGGGATTATCAACATGTGAGGAGAAAGTTGCTTCACGTAAGAGCTAGCTACATTTTAATTTTGTGATGTGAAGTCATTGGGGCTCGCCAACAGTATTGCGAATAGTGCGAGGAGGAGGGTTTTTCACGTAAGAGCTAACTGTGAACTAATTGCGGTGACTAGGGCTGTGCTATGGGAATGCTATCATCTTATTAATGTATGTGAATAAAGATTTAAACCAAGTTCGAACAAGATTCAAATAAGATTCAAACAATGTTCGATCGAAAATAATAGATAGAGGGGTAAATTATCCCAAAATAAAATTTTAGGCAGAATTTTCTTAAAAAAAAAAGATATTGATCATATTTCTGCACTTTCATATATTATATGACATACAATATCAATTTTCCCTTTATACAAGTGAATAAAGTTAAAAGAAGTGGTCTAAAAACCTTAAAAATGATAAATATCTTGATTGATAAGGTTTGATTATATATCTTATTTTGATGAAGATTTAAAAAAAAAAAATTATAAAATAAACTTAGTGACCTTAAAGTATAACCTGATAAAAAAAATTTTGGTTAGTTAGAAGCCCATTATTTACCAATTAAAAAATATTGATTCTCACCTACCAATTTCTAGATTTCTACCTCTCGCCTCAGCCTTTTGGAATCTTCTGAATGGCAGGTGGTTAGCCAGGTTAGGTAAGCGGCCCTCCCCACCTAAACCTAAAGTTAGGGCCTAAGGCCTTTTTAATATCATATTTATTTTATTTTCATTGTAGATTAAAAATAAATAACTTGTGCTTTCTTAATTTTTGAAATAAATAAAATTAATTTAAAAAAATACCAAAAAAAGGGGACATTTAAGTCAATTAAGACAAAATCACACAAACAACACGTACGTGAGACTTAAACTCACGATCTCTTGATTGATTGTCAAAGCTCTCAACCAAGCGACCAAAGTGATTTGCATTTAAAATAAATTTTTTATGTAAGGTATTTATAGTTGTTTGCTTTTTTTAATGAAAGCGAACTCGACCAGCTAGCCGCCATCATCAACAACTTTATACACCAATGCTCTCATCACTGGGCATCGCCACTGCCAATATTGTTGTTCCATTGCAGTTGAGTTACTACCACCTAAGATTATCGCACGGTACTTTGCTACATTAATTGACTTCTACAAATTCTCAATAAAAATAAAAATAAATATTTAAGAAACTAAATATATTTATTATAAATAATTTTTTTTTTTGGAGTTAGGGGATTCGAGCCAGGGTGAGATGGGAGTAATTTCTTCCGTTTTAGTAAAAAAACAAAAGCTGTCGCTTTCTGAAGAAAATAAAGAAGCCATCAGCATCATCTACCAACTTTGCCATCACATTTTCACATTTTGCTATCCGAGCTAACCGAAAGGCAATTTTTGTGCAAATAAAATTTCAACATTTAATCATTTATGGGGTTGTTAATGGTCCCAATCTATTGGGCTATTTTCGGTAAGCGCCTGATTCATTGGACGAAAAAAGGAATGCATGATAAAATAGAAT